GGGCTGAGCTGGCCACACACACATACACACACACACACAATAAATAAATAAATAAATAAATAAATATTAAAAAATCAAATTATGCATTAAAAAAAATGCATTGGAGAGACTAACCCACTGAACATCCGAGGTTAGTTGAGCCTAATTTAAAGGTATTGAGAACACTTTCCCGAGTCCGTCAAAGCCACCTGCCGCAAAGTTTATTTTATAACAGTGTTGACGATCTCACGTAACATTGAATCCTGTACCGAAAGTGAAAATCCCTGTGGTAAGAGTGTGGCTCCACACCATCACGAGGTAGAAAGATTATAAACTGAGCCATTGCAAATTAGAAGTTATCTGCAGCAATATAAAATATTCTTTATAGGAACAGTTGAAGGGAGGGTAGGGAAATGGGGAGGGAAGAATCAAGATTTGCGTATAGGCACAAACTCCCCTATGATGGAACGTGATCATTAGGTATACCTAAAATGTACCAGCAAACTTTATTTTAAAAAAGATTTTTTATAAATCCAGGCATTGTGGTGCACGCCATGAGAGTTCAAGCGTAGCCTGGGTGATTTAGTGACTTTAGACCCTGTCTCAAAATAAGAAATGAAAAGGGCCAAAGGTACACTTCAGCGGGGCCCTGGGTTCAATCCTCGCTTTTGTCACATTGCTGCTGTTGGGGGAAAAAGCAAAAAACAAAACAAAACAAAACAAAAACCTGCAACCTAAGGGTCGTGCCTCATGGTTTCAGAGGAATCTGTCCAGAGCCTGCCTGCTCTAAAGCATAAACATCAGGGTGGAAGGACGAGGGGGAGGAGGGGGAGGAGCCAGGGACAAGAACACATCCTTCTAAGCCATAGCCCCTGTGGGCCGCCTCCAGCCAGGCTGCACCCCTAACAGCAAATGAGCTCATCCAGAGGTTCTTCTAGCCAGGCTCCACCCCTAACAGCAAATGAGTTCCTTGAGAGGTTCCTCCAGGTAGGCTCCACCCTTAACAGCAAATGAGCTCATTGGTGGGTTCCTCCAGCCAGGCTCCACCCCTAACAGCAAATGAGCGCATTGGTGGGTTCCTCCAGCCGGGCTCCACCCCTAACAGCAAATGAGC